TGGGGTAATCGCAAAGGTCAAGCTGGCCGGGTGTGCAATGGCCAACCCTCGCTCTGGACGGACAGCCGGCATGATCACTGTGCCATCTCTGCCAGGTAAGTATGCCGATTAACACCTTGTCTGCGGAGCCGCCGCGGAGAAACGAGGGATCTACCTGCGGCACTGACCCCGATATAATTATCTTCGTAATGTCGTTTCTTTTCAAATGTGTGAGTCGAGGTATGCTCTGCAGCTTCCGACGACATAGCTTTGTATTTGCCGTTAATTCCTTTACCTCAGATAGACGGGTACCTCGGCGGAGGTTTGACTCACCGTATCTCGGCAAGACGTCGGCAAGACGTTGCCTGGATGGCGGTCACGGCCATGTCCATGTATACCCCCCAGTAGACGGAGTGCTAAACTGCTACATGTGCTGTGTATTTTGTTTACGAAAGTTTACCTTCCTGTCAACATACAGATGAATACACTTAGCTGTAAACTGTCCAAAAACAGCACAAAAACATCATGAACAAACTAATGATACTGTTTAACACATGATACATGCATATCTATATGTGTCCACAGTATTATGAGGACTTCTAAGAAATGAATATTGAAGTATATTGTCTAAGATACATATTTTATTTACCCACAATTAAATCAAGTACGGAACAAAACAGAAAATTGCAGACTTTAATTTAAACTGTGCATACACTAAATCACCATTGGAGAACGCTAGCAGTATTTGCTGGATTCTGATCCTCAGCAAGAGCCAATGTGCCACTAAGGGATACTTTGCCCCTTGAAATAGGCACATTTGACATTGTACAAGACATTGTACAAATTGTGAAATCTTGGAAAATTATGATAAGTACATGTACATACACCTGATACTAGTACCTAGGTGGGTAGACTGGTACTAGTAACTTACTAAAAGTACTACTAAGGTACGTGTAGGCAAGAGAATGGAGCCAGAGTAGAACATGCAAATATTTGAAAGAGCACAATAAATATGATGGATGATGTTGATAATGAAGATCAGATTGATGTATGTTTTGACAAGTAGTCTTTTCATTAAAACTCAAGCTGTCCAGAGGCAAAATCGTACAATACACTCAGACAATGTGAAAGGGAGAAGGCTTCCTTTGGGTGCAGATGACCTTGGTGTCTGCCAATACTGACCATCCCTCCATGTTCTTGAGAAAGCAGCATATGAAATGATATCAGACATGTTGGGTTTTAATGTTCAATATTGACAGCTAATATCAGAAATGGGTGGAGAAGGAATAGTGTGCTAATAAACCTATAAATCATGTGTGGGAAACTAGGGATCCAATGAACGTAACTATCAATGATTGAAATCTGAAAAAGCCAACTAAACAGAAGCACAATGGCATCTTTTTACCTTTAGTTGATGTTAGCCCTCAAAAATGCAGGCAGGATACTGTCCGCCATGCCCCACACACTCCCGCTTGAAACTGCACCGCTGACGGCTGTTGTTGACCCTGTGTGGTTCTGGGTTCAGGTGGTCTGGATTTACACAAAGGGAATTGTGGCACAGATGAGAGACATCGAGAGTTGCAATGTCCAAGTTCCCAGTCCACGCCATATAGGCAATGCGGTGAACGTGCAATTTGGTTCTGGCCCGTAACACTTTGCCAGGAAACCACGAAACCTGAATGAAACCATAGTTAACAGTAGACTTTCTGATAACTTGCCCGATCCAAATTGTACATGTTTTGGTAGGGTGGGGACGAATTTTCCTGGTTATTTTCGCTTTGTACTCCTCCCGCCAATGTCGAGTGTCTTCGTGTGCCATTTTGAGACACAGAGAGAGACCGTGTTTACATCAAATGTCTCTGTTTTTAAATACCTATACCTCACACGTAGCGTGGTGCTCAATCGACCGTTTTAAAATTGAGCTAGGGGGGTGTACATGCTCAAGACATAAGTTTGCACTGATGATTTTTAATCATACAACAAACAATGCACATCACAAGTCTTCCTACCTGGCAGACCTCATAACTGACAAGATGGTAGAAAAATTCTTTATAACATGGTAAAAATTCTTTATAACTCGACAGAAAATAGGCAATGCGGGCCATGCGCACAAAAAGCATTGTGGGAGACCATAGATATAGCGCCGATTAAAATCACGGAGAATCCTCTCTTCGTCCTTTAAAACTGCCACAGGGCGGGTATGTTCCTGCCCAACTCTCCATGGGACCGGCACACCTCGTTTCTTTGTCGAGGAGAAATTGAAATCGAAGCACATGCCTGACCGTGAATTTCGGTAAAGAGGCTAAGTGCATGCGGAGTGATCTGCGCAACGGGGAGGCAACGTAGCTAATGTATGTTTGCAGTCAAACATACACAAGTTCCCGTCAACTATGAATCAGCACTGGTGATATTGTAGAACGCCGGCGTTGTTGTGGAACGCATCTGTCCCTCTGTGATGTAACTGTTCCAGGCATGGCGTTCCAAGAACAACTGCACCTGGGGCAAAGGAAAGTGACTGAAACGCGTGCTATCGCCATTCGCCCTGTCCAACGCGTAGCGCGGTAGCCGCCTGGGGAGCACGCGCGCTGTCCGCTTGAGAGGCTAGTGGGTTGATGTGGGTGCAACCTGCTTTTGGATTGTTTGGGCGGGGGTTAGCGCGGACGCAGACCCCCACTATCATAAATTACGCAGCCGAGTTACCCGCATTTGGGGTAATCGCAAAGGTCAAGCTGGCCGGGTGTGCAATGGCCAACCCTCGCTCTGGACGGACAGCCGGCATGATCACTGTGCCATCTCTGCCAGGTAAGTATGCCGATTAACACCTTGTCTGCGGAGCCGCCGCGGAGAAACGAGGGATCTACCTGCGGCACTGACCCCAATATAATTATCTTCGTAATGTCGTTTCTTTTCAAATGTGTGAGTCGAGGTATGCTCTGCAGCTTCCGACGACATAGCTTTGTATTTGCCGTTAATTCCTTTACCTCAGATAGACGGGTACCTCGGCGGAGGTTTGACTCACCGTATCTCGGCAAGACGTCGGCAAGACGTTGCCTGGATGGCGGTCACGGCCATGTCCATGTATACCCCCCAGTAGACGGTGAGGCGGCCTAGTCGTTAGCACACATCCACCAACTCCCACGCACGGATATAGCGCCGATTAAAATCACGGAGAATCCTCTCTTCGTCCTTTAAAACTGCCACAGGGCGGGTATGTTCCTGCCCAACTCTCCATGGGACCGGCACACTTTTACAAACACCTCGTTTCTTTGTCGAGGAGAAATTGAAATCGAAGCACATGCCTGACCGTGAATTTCGGTAAAGAGGCTAAGTGCATGCGGAGTGATCTGCGCAACGGGGAGGCAACGTAGCTAATGTATGTTTGCAGTCAAACATACACAAGTTCCCGTCAACTATGAATCAGCACTGGTGATATTGTAGAACGCCGGCGTTGTTGTGGAACGCATCTGTCCCTCTGTGATGTAACTGTTCCAGGCATGGCATTCCAAGAACAACTGCACCTGGGGCAAAGGAAAGTGACTGGAACGCGTGCTATCGCCATTCGCCCTGTCCAACGCGTAGCGCGGTAGCCGCCTGGGAAGCACGCGCGCTGTCCGCTTGAGAGGCTAGTGGGTTGATGTGGGTGCAACCTGCTTTTGGATTGTTTGGGCGGGGGTTAGCGCGGACGCAGACCCCCACTATCATAAATTACGCAGCCGAGTTACCCGCATTTGGGGTAATCGCAAAGGTCAAGCTGGCCGGGTGTGCAATGGCCAACCCTCGCTCTGGACGGACAGCCCGTTTTTAATTGGGGTATAACAAAATCAAAAAGGAGTGAAAACTAGACAAGAGAGACAGAAAAAAAAGAAAGAAAATAGTTAAAAAACCTCCTGTCGCTCTGGACGGACAGCCGGCATGATCACTGTGCTATCTCTGCCAGGTAAGTATGCCGATTAACACCTTGTCTGCGGAGCCGCCGCGGAGAAACGAGGGATCTACCTGCGGCACTGACCCCGATATAATTATCTTCGTAATGTCGTTTCTTTTCAAATGTGTGAGTCGAGGTATGCTCTGCAGCTTCCGACGACATAGCTTTGTATTTGCCGTTAATTCCTTTACCTCAGATAGACGGGTACCTCGGCGGAGGTTTGACTCACCGTATCTCGGCAAGACGTCGGCAAGACGTTGCCTGGATGGCGGTCACGGCCATGTCCATGTATACCCCCCAGTAGACGGTGAGGCGGCCTAGTCGTTAGCACACATCCACCAACTCCCACGCACGGATATGGCGCCGATTAGGATCACGGAGAATCCTCTCTTCGTCCTTTAAAACTGCCACAGGGCGGGTATGTTCCTGCCCAACTCTCCATGGGACCGGCACACTTTTACAAACACCTCGTTTCTTTGTCGAGGAGAAATTGAAATCGAAGCACATGCCTGACCGTGAATTTCGGTAAAGAGGCTAAGTGCATGCGGAGTGATCTGCGCAACGGGGAGGCAACGTAGCTAATGTATGTTTGCAGTCAAACATACACAAGTTCCCGTCAACTATGAATCAGCACTGGTGATATTGTAGAACGCCGGCGTTGTTGTGGAACGCATCTGTCCCTCTGTGATGTAACTGTTCCAGGCATGGCATTCCAAGAACAACTGCACCTGGGGCAAAGGAAAGTGACTGAAACGCGTGCTATCGCCATTCGCCCTGTCCAACGCGTAGCGCGGTAGCCGCCTGGGAAGCACGCGCGCTGTCCGCTTGAGAGGCTAGTGGGTTGATGTGGGTGCAACCTGCTTTTGGATTGTTTGGTGGTTTGGGCGGGGGTTAGCGCGGACGCAGACCCCCACTATCATAAATTACGCAGCCGAGTTACCCGCATTTGGGGTAATCGCAAAGGTCAAGCTGGCCGGGTGTGCAATGGCCAACCCTCGCTCTGGACGGACAGCCGGCGTGATCACTGTGCCATCTCTGCCAGGTAAGTATGCCGATTAACACCTTGTCTGCGGAGCCGCCGCGGAGAAACGAGGGATCTACCTGCGGCACTGACCCTGATACAATTATCTTCGTAATGTCGTTTCTTTTCAAATGTGTGAGTTGAGGTATGCTCTGCAGCTTCCGACGACATAGCTTTGTATTTGCCGTTAATTCCTTTACCTCAGATAGACGGGTACCTCGGCGGAGGTTTGACTCACCGTATCTCGGCAAGACGTCGGCAAGACGTTGCCTGGATGGCGGTCACGGCCATGTCCATGTATAAACCCCCAGTAGACGGTGAGGCGGCCTAGTCGTTAGCACACATCCGCCAACTCCCACGCACGGATATAGCGCCGATTAAAATCACGGAGAATCCTCTCTTCGTCCTTTAAAACTGCCACAGGGCGGGTATGTTCCTGCCCAACTCTCCATGGGACCGGCACACTTTTACAGACACCTCGTTTCTTTGTCGAGGAGAAATTGAAATCGAAGCACATGCCTGACCGTGAATTTCGGTAAAGAGGCTAAGTGCATGCGGAGTGATCTGCGCAACGGGGAGGCAACGTAGCTAATGTATGTCTGCAGTCAAACATACACAAGTTCCCGTCAACTATGAATCAGCACTGGTGATATTGTAGAACGCCGGCGTTGTTGTGGAACGCATCTGTCCCTATGTGATGTAACTGTTCCAGGCATGGCATTCCAAGAACAACTGCACCTGGGGCAAAGGAAAGTGACTGAAACGCGTGCTATCATGGCGCCATTCGCCCTGTCCAACGCGTAGCGCGGTAGCCGCCTGGGGAGCACGCGCGCTGTCCGCTTGAGAGGCTAGTAGGTTGATGTGGGTGCAACGTGCTTTTGGATTGTTTGGGCGGGGGTTAGCGCGGACGCAGACCCCCACTATCATAAATTACGCAGCCGAGTTACCCGCATTTGGGGTAAGGTAATCGCAGGGCCAAAATCGTGGAGAGTGCAATGCAGTGTTAGCTTTTCAGCTTTCCCATTGATCCCGAGTCTAGCTTTGAGTCTAGCTTTCCTAGCTTTCTGTTGGCCGGCAGTCCAGCTTTCGTCAATGCAGTCTAGCTTTCCAGCTTTCTCATTGGCCCCGAGTCTAGCTTTGACTTTGTTTGAGTCTAGCTTTTCTAGCTTCCCATTGGCCGGTAGTCCAGTTTTCGCCATTCACCAATTGGCTGCAGTACTGTCAATGATTCCTAGTCGGCGCTTTTGATCCACCATTTACCTAAACGGGGTCACCATAATGGCGGCGCTCTTGAGCCGGTTAGCCTGTCGAACTTGTGTTTATACGCGTTTCTGTCGAAGCTGTTTACAACTTAGTCTAATAACTTCACAGCCCTACAGACTAAGGTCTACTGCGCTCAGTCAACGAGGTATGTAACAATCAGTATTTGTGATAATTGATCAGTAAAAACGATCTATCGATATACCACGTATACCGGATGCCAACAAACTTGTAACTTTATATAATTTACGCAACTGTCGTAACGATTCTGTTGCATTCGATAGTTGTAAACTAGCAGAGGAACAAAATCTAAAGCATACAGACTGAGAGTAGGCCTTCTTTCACTTTTGATATTTTATTGTTACAATAATGTATCATATAACGTTATAACTTCATATAAATACCCTGGATGGGAGGGGGGGTCCTAAATAATTTGCATTCATAAATTTATGTGTATATTACTCTATTACCAATATTGTAGTTAGCCATAAAACTTAAACACTAGTGTAAACATGTAAGAGAAGTAAATTAGTAGGTTATGTCTCTTTTTATCCTGTTCATCACTATAGGCCATCAGAATATTTTCCTTTGCAGCTGCGGTACAAGCACCTTTACCCTCAGCAGCAGTCAACAACAACACATCAACAGAAACAACAACAGAAGCCAAGGACGATGGAGTTAATATATCAGGACAGCAGCTTTTTCTCACCCCGTGTGAGTCCGGACCGTTAGAGAGTTATCAGAACGCCGTCCAAGTCGGCTACTTGAGCCGGGACCCTCATCAGCTGACCGTTATACAGGAGTTACAAAAACTTCACGAGATTTTGTCGCGATCGCAGAAGGACGGTAGCGTTGGGTACAGGCCGCACCAACAGAGCTATTTTGGAAAGGTAGCGTTTCATGTTTTCTACAAATTAACATTAAGTAAAGGCGTTGAAGCCAAACATCATAATATCCACCAATGATTCATGACTCATGTATACTTAAGTGTTCAATGCAAGTTTGCCTATTTGTAACTTTGTGACTTTTATCAAAGTTTACTTCTTTCACTTTTATTTTCTGCCCCTCCAGCTTTTTGGTTTACGGCACAAGCAGGGAGCTCCAAATGGTTTATATCTCTACGGAAATGTTGGTAAGTCAGTTTGAATATGGTAGAGACTCCGATCTGGCAATTCTACTGTTAAAGGTCCTGATCATTGTATCTGTTGATAGAGACTCCATTCTACAACTAGTACTAGATCCTTATTGTATGAAGTACAACACTTGAGTAAAGTTCAAGACAGGGATTACTACAGGCGGAGCCTCATCCTCCCGAAGATGGTATCAAGGTATCAGAGCCTGACATATGTATTACAATCCTCTAATCTACAAGTCCTGGATCTATGTACTTGTATGAAAATAGAGAACTTTGATGTGAGACCCAATCATCTCTCACCTGTGTTTCCCAGGTTCAGGGAAGTCCATGTTGATGGACCTGTTCTACACCCACGTCTCTGTCACCAAGAAGAAGCGAGTCCACTTCCACGCCTTCATGTTGGATGTCCACGCACGTGAGCAACATTTCATCTGACTAGAAGTCTTTAAAAGCATCCAATGCAATTTCAAGGGACAAAACTATTTTTTTAAAGTCAATTTACTGGTGTAGGGTATCAAAAGGAGAGACTATGGAAGAGGTCTGTACTCTTATGACTGCCTGCTACAACTGTCTTGTCAGACACTGTGGTCACAGTCTGGTCCTGTTACGTCAATCCTTCCACAAATGTGGTAAGTCGTGCTAAATAAATAGTTTCTGTACTAACATGATGATGGTAAAATTTGTGGCTGTGTTCTCCAGGAATCCACAAGCAGAAGAAGTTGATGCCCAAGCGTGTAGAGGGCAGCCGGAGGTCGCAGGCGTTTGACCCCATCCCTCCTGTAGCCGAGGAGATTAGCGATGAAACATGGCTGCTGTGCTTCGATGAGTTTCAGGTTGGCTTCTCTGCTATACTTGGAAACAAGACTACTTTATTGTAGCAGTTACTGTAGTATGTTTGAGGAAAAAAACTGTCAGTTCAGTAACATGTACATTATTTTGTAGTTCATAGTTCTTTTTTTGTTTACCTTTGCTGAAGGAAACATATTGTTTTTGCTTCTTCTCGAAACACACAAGGTTAATGTCTGTCACTATGGTAACTGGTGCTGTATTAGACATCCTGTGGTGTGAGGTTACATGATAATTGATATGAACAGGTGTTTTAGTAGTAGTTAGAATAAACAGAGCAGTACGTTGTAGTTTGTTATGCTAGACCATGTGGTGGTAAACATTATGCATTTGCTTTGCAAATGTTACCTTTGTATTGCATTGCATTTCTGTGTAGCAAATAATTAGCGTGGGGAGCGGATCTTGGGTAGCGGACTAAAGCTAACAAGGCTGGATACCAGGCTAGCAAATAATCTCTGTTATCAAAAGGTATTCACAGATTCTAGACTAATACATTACAGTGGTCGAAATACTTTTTTTCAGTGCTCTGCAATATTGCAGAAGAGTAAAAATTTTGTTCTGCAATTTGGAAATACTTTCTGCAAATACACAAGCCTCCATACTACAATCTTGCAGGTTTATAAGCATGAGCTATTGATTCATATGCAAATTAGTTAAGACAAATTTTTGGAAGTCCAAAAGGAAACAAAAGATAGACAAGTCAAGACAAGATTGATGCAAATTAGTGAATAAGGTCCTGTTCTTTCAAAACAGGAACTTAAGTGTTGTCTGTCCTTGGAGCCAAAAGCGCCAAATCCCAAGTGCCAATTTTTCCTGCTGCAAAATTGCAGATTGTATAAATTTTTCTTCTGCAATCTTGAAAATCTATCTGCAGATTGCAGACTGCAGACAGGTATTTCGAACACTGCATTAAAGTGCACTTACTGTAGTTTGAATGCACATTTTTTCCCCAGGTTACAGACATTGCGGATGCCATGATCCTGAAACGGCTGTTTACAGAGCTGTTTCACCGGGGAGTGGTGGTGGTAGCCACTTCCAACAGGCACCCAGACGGTAGGACTACTGTCTACTCTTATTCTTGCAATTTACCATACTTTTAACCTTCTTGTAAATATAGAGTACAACACGGTGAACACTGTAATGCTCCCCTTGTGTCAAATGTTAATATTGCCTCTACCACATTTTTTTACAGACCTGTACAAAAATGGTTTACAACGGTCCAATTTTGTGCCTTTTATCAAGATTTTGAAGGTAAGATAAACAGTCCTAGTAACGTCATGCTTTCTTAGGGAGCTTATTTCCAAAAAAGAAATGTTCATGTAACCTTATAGCTACACTCAAAACAGCCATTTCTTCTTCAACTTATCCAGAGTATTTTAGCTTGCGATAAGCATATTAAGCTTGCATAATCATAAGCAAATCAGGCTAAGCAATTCTCCCTCACACAGTATTTTTTTTTATTTGCTTTACTATCTGAAGCTCAAAAATATCAGAGAAAAAGAAGCTCTTTGATTTCAGCTTTTCGATGCTGACCCCCCCTCCCCCTCCCCCCTACAGTACAGATGTGACTGCTTGGCCCTGGACTCAGGCACAGACTACAGATTGCAGGGCATGCCCACGGCTGGAAAAGTCTTCTTCTTGTACGTCATGCATGTTTTTTTATTATTTATCTTGTTCTGCAGTGCTGTTTCTCACCACGTTACTGATTTCCAATTGGCTCATAATCATTATTTGTTATTATCATGCATGTACTTTACTAGAGATTTAGCAAGGACGCATTGCACTATCGGCTATTGAGAAAGCACCTTGCTTCGTTTCAAGCTGACTGAAGAGAAAGAAAGCTTAATGGTGATTTCAGGGTAGTAAAACTGGGTTTTCAATGGCAATTTTCTGGTATTATTTTAATGTAGTAAGTTGAATTTTTTTTGCGCTGAACATGTATTTGCAAATGGTTATCCCTTTTATTCATGATAGTGAAGTGAAAAGTTTTGGATCTCTGCCGTTTTCTGCAGGTCCACTCATAAAAAGGCAGATCAAGAGTTAGACAGAATATTTCAAGAGATGACAGCTCGAGAAACAGGAGGTGAGATGAGTTCATGTCTGGCCACTGTTAGTCAAAATGCTTTCATACAGACTGCATCAAGCAGCTTCTATTGGATATTCCGATTCTTGTCAAACATTTGGTGAAATATGTGATTTTAGGGCAGTAAAACTGGATTTTCAAAGTAAATATTTTTTCAAATAATTTTTGTGTAGTATCCCAAAGCATAACAGATACTTGTGAGCAACACTGTGATGTATCGTAGGCTGGTTCTAGGTATTTTTTGGTGGTACCGAAAAATAAAGGGACTCCTCACATTGCTTGTTTCGGGGCTATTTCAAATCTTCAAGTACGAAATGACAACATTTGAAATTGCATTTCTATGAAATTGCAATTGCTATTGAAATTGCAACAACTTTAAGGAGTTGTTTCCTGTTGTAGAAATAGGACCACGAACTCTACGCCTGCTCGGGCGAGACCTCCACGTGCCGATAGCCTGTGGAAGGGTGGCAGACTTCCAGTTTGATGACTTGTGTGCAAAGGTATGCTTGAATACTGACAGTTGAGGCCATTTTTGGTAATTTTTTTTTCTGTCAAAAAGTCTGGTGTCAAGCTTCCAGTTAAGTACCGGTATGACAAGAAGTTTGTGTATTCAAAGATTTAAAAGAGGAGCCTAGAATAATAGTAATCATAATTGCAAATATATGGCACAGTCAATCACAAGATATGCCTGTTATAGTTCAGCAGAATTGATAACAATAATATGCAGACATGATTCTGATTTATTTCGCTGTTTTCTTGTTTGGAATAGCCACTAGGTGCTGCAGACTACTTAAAGATTGGCCAAGAGTTTGACACAGTTATAGTCCGTAATGTGCCACAAATGACCATGACACTGAAGACACAAGCTCGGAGGTTCATCACCTTAGTCGACACGTTGTACGACAACAAGGTAAGAACTTGTGAGTTGATAAACAGTGGGGTTAGATCACAAATTCAAATTTGTCCCAATGTGTGCCTTCATTTGTTTACAAGGACATCCAATGCAAATACAGGGCAGCAGAACTGGATTTTCAAAGTCAATTTACTGGTTATTCTTTTAATGTAGTTTTAATAATCCTGATCACATATAGCATACTGATTACCGTGAGGCAAAAATGCAATGTCCGATCGGTGTGGTCAGCTTGAGCGGCCAACATGTGAATGTTGTACTGTGTTTGTTACATGTTAGGTCCGGTTGGTGTGGTTAGCTGAGCGGTCAGTATGTGAATGTTGTACTGTGTTCATTTTATGTTAGGTGCGGTTGGTGTGGTCAGCAGCAGTCAGTCCTGAGGAACTGTTCCGAGTGGAGACATTGGGAGCCATGGACTCGGACTACAACAGGCTTCTCATGGACGATCTGGACATCAAAGTTGGAACTGTGAGGACACATTGTCTCTTGTAACCTTAACCTCATGTAACTTTTATAAGCTCAATCAAACCAGATCAAAAGTGAAATCATGCCAAGCAGGTGTCAGGAGGGAAAGACTCACCGAATAAAACAAGAAGTGATGCAATTGTTTACTGCATGTGATCGCTAATAAATTATTACAAAACATGTGTATTCTGCAAGAAAGAGCTTTTTTGGTGTGGCTGTCCCAAACACGGGACCTCTATTTATCGTCCTATCTAAGGGACATCCCTTACAGAAGCTAGGTACTCATTTACACCTGAGTGAAGTGTGGAAAGTTGTGGAAAGTTCCATTCCCAAGGGCACAATATCGGTGGCATATGGTAGGATTCGAACCCCGGGACCTCTTGGGTCTGAGCCGAACTCTCTACCGTTACACCACACGACCTCACATTTCATTATTTTCGTTATATTTATGAAAGTTGCAACAAGCCGTTAATAGGAAACCTCCCCTGATTGTTCCAGGATAACTCGGCGGCCAGTATCTTCACCGGTGAGGAGGAGATTTTTGCGTTTGAGCGGGCGGTGTCACGGCTGAAGGAGATGCAGACTCAGGACTACTGGATCATCAGGGACGAGTGGAACAAGGAGAGGAAGAAACAGAAACCTGCGACATGACATCACTCGTGATACAACTACTTCTGTGCCTGAAGTTTAGCAATTGCAAAATTCTATGTTGTGACAATTGTTCATGTAGAGACAGTTCTAGACTCAAGAAGTCACTGATACGTGGAAAGTAATATAGATTTCAGGGCTTGAAATATTTTTCATACCTGTACAGGTACCCTGGATTTCTTCCTCATTTCTTCCTCTCTTTGATGCCCAACATCATAGCAATGATGACTTTGGCATATATAGAAGTACACTTCAGAATTACACTCATAACTTTCTATAATCCAGTCTCATAATCTTAAGACCATAGCTTGGGTTGGCTTCTGTAAGGGCATAGTGTCACAGTGGTACTCAGTGGTTTGCAGAGCTGCATAATACCAAATTGTGTCAACTGTAGGTGCCTCCACTACTTCACTGTTAAGACTGATCCAGTACCTTAAAGTTCTATGTAGGAAAGACCCTCCTCTATACTGCATCCGGGTGTTAACAAGGCAGAACTATTTGTTGTGGGATCGACACTGATGTTTATATCCCAGCTTGCCAAGCATACTTAACTGTGTCAGACACAAAAATCAGTTAGGTTTACTTCTCAGAAATGTCTATTGGATAGAGTTTGTTGAAATGTACATGTGTACATATATTTTTTAATTTTAAGTTGAAGTTGTAGCAGTTCAATACTTCTTGAGTCAAGGCAAACAGTGCAACATCATTATTTAATATAATATGCTCCAAGTTCAAGATAGTTTCAGAGTGGTCAATGTGTTTACATTTTTTGCAAGGCAGGCAAATTCTACCTGCAAATTTTTAATGTGACTTGTTTGATTGTGTAAGACCTCAGAAAACTAGAGTTGCCAGTTTTACTCCATTTGCCTGTTTTGCAGGCTCAGCAATAATTCTATTATTTTATTAATATTATTAATATATTGATATTTCAAAATGTTTATCTATAATGACATTCAATATAATGTAGTTCTCCACAGTTTTATTTTACTAAAAGTTGACATATAGGTGTCTATCATTGTATAATGTTTCTACTATGCAATATTCTCTTCAGCAAATTTCTGCTTATATTATATAGATATTTCAATGTTCCAAAATATCGCTTGGAAGTGTGAAGAAGACAATATGAAAGTTTCAAGATTTAGTTCGTAAATAGGAAAAAACTGGGTCTGCTTAGGATGTTAAGTTCTTTAAGAAATTAAATGGTATTTGAGAAAGCCATATTGAAAAAAATAGGAAAGTTTGTCTGGTCTGCATACTACCGGTTGTGACACTTTATAAAACATATTTATGTCAAATGAATAAAACCAAAAAATGAGTCAAACTGGTACGTTTTTCACTGTAGATGTACTTTTAACAATGATGTATGAAGTGTTGAAAATTCATCAGATAATTTAACACTGTAAGATAATTTTTATTTCAAGGATTGAAATCATTGAAATAAAAGAGTGCTTTTTTCCAATCACATAGCTTACGGTCTAGCCCTTTCTATAGTACGTAGCAGGGAATATCACGATCTATTTTAAAGTAAAATTTAAACCGTGGGATCGTCAAGTACCTGTCTGCCCTCCCGGAGGCTACTAACACGATCATAAAGAGCGACGTAATCTTTGACCAATGGGAGTTTGCTACGTACGTCATCGCCACTCCCATTCCAAAAGGGGCGTTGTTGGTATGCAATGCTTTACTTGTACATAGGAGCCGGCCTGGTTAACGAGTCTTTCATTGGGCGGAAGTGGTTCTGTACCGAAGCGGGACTGTGTGATGGCTAAGATTGCTGTTCATTGTCACGAAAGGTAGGGATTTGAACTTTTCCAAGTTCTTTTTCAAAACTGGATCTTTCAGGAACTTGTGTTCGGTCACTGTGAATATGGTTTCGTGTACAAAACGTAGATGAAGTATAGGCCACTGTTTTTTTCCCGCAAGGTACCGGTAGCCTGGCCTGCTGGAAGCACACGCAAGATTGTGGGTAATACTTTAAGAAACCCAGTGTGGAGTCACGCAGATTTTATAGCGACCTCGCTCGGTCCGGCCGACTATTAAATATTGATAATAAATAAATCGTCAGCTATCCATTGTTTTTGATTAGTGACTGCTTTTTCGTTGGCTGCTTGTATTACTCTGATATCGGTGTCTTTAGTCTTGGTTACAAAATTGCATGTCTTCCACTATTGTCGAATTCAAATGCAGAAGCACGGACGGTTCTTGTTTTGAAAACAAATAGATTGTTATCTAAGACTCTCCTAATGTGTGAAGCAAGTGCATGCTATTGTTTTGTCTAATTTCAAATGCAGAAGCACGGCACGGTTCTTGTTATGAAAACAAATAGATTGTTATTTAAGACTCTGCCACATTTCCCCCCCGGGAAACTTTCCACCTCCCGTACCCTGGCTTACCTGGGAAAATCACAATACATATCCTCGGTGATTAATAACAGAAAATGGACCACGAACTAGTAAAAAGGCATAGATCTTGAATAAAATTGCATATCGACACGTTGACACAGTCACACTGACCCTCTAGTCAACAGGCTGTCTGGTAATGACATGGTCTGTCCATGGTGCTGATAAACTGCGTTACCTACACATTTCGCTAGGTGGCAGTGCTACACCATGTAACCAGTGACAGTAAGTTTCGCTCGGTTCAGGTGAGGCAAGCGTATTTCCTGGTGTCATCGGAAGGCTCTGTGCTTCTGCCTTTCTTTCATTCATGGCACAATGTCTTGCACAGCACTTATGATCAACATGGTTCGTTTAACTGTCTGCAGATGGCGTTACGAGATTGATGGTAAGAATGAAAATGTGGGAACGGAGAGAAATGTAGGTCATAACAAGAGTTCTACGATCTCATACCTTCGCCAAATGATGTGTTATCTTCTTCTGCCCACCGGTCAGCAAATATTTCTCATTGATTATGCAATCAAAGTGTTACTGTTATTTGTATAAATTACATCAGTCGATGATCTGTACTTTAATACAAAAAAGCACAAGTTGTCCAATTGTTTATCGTTATTTCAACAAAGAAGGCTATTGTAGCATTTAGTTATCTATTATGCAAATTAGACCCTGATTTGCATGATACACTTACCACTATGGTATTATACCATTTTCGCATTTATCATGCAAATGAGGGGATGAGGTCATTAATACAATTGATATCTATCGATGATAGCTATCGATGCTAGTTACACGTGTTAAAAAAGGCCGTGTACTTACTAATATTTATCAACAACAGCGATTGCGGGCAAGCTTATAGCTTTTGATCGAACGCGATGGACATCCAAGGCAAGAGTTAAAAAGAAGGGTGACGGGCAGAATAACTCTCATCCTCCGACATAAACACCTTTTCTCCGTCTTTTGATCCTGATACCGCGCCCAACCACCGCCTCCTGTCTATCCAGGTCTTGCATTCTGTGGCATTACCATTCACGAAACGCCACCAAGAATGGCCTTTCCGCAACATTTGGAGCGTTATTTATGGAGAGTGGACCGTAATAAACCGCCATAAACGTCCCATTTGCGTGCACTTGAATGTACAAAACGGAGTTTTCACGGTTCTGAGGCCGTTTTACGCTTAATGCGCGCGGCCGACCCATTATGTTGGAAAGTATAAGGGTGGAGACCACAAATCACGCGTCAGGTCGCGGTGGGAACAGGCATTATAGAATCGCCGTGACCTCTCTATTCTTCCCGCACCATTGTCTTCTGGCCGATATTAATTTGGGCAATTCATAGGATATTTCTCAGGAGAGCAATTTTGTAGCACTGCTGGGCCGGCCTTGTGATGGTCTGTGACACATATGGCCGGGGTGAAGCAAGGCGCCGATCGTCTTTTTAGCGAAGTATGTATTGTGTGACCAAGCAGCTGCATACATGACCACGGCCTGACCTTCACGTGCCAGAAGGTCTTGACAACCCAGAATGAAGTTCGATACGTACGGAATAAAACTTGCCCCAAGGGGCTGCTTTCCCAGGCTATGTCATTGTCCGTGGCCTAGTGTGATCGTCGCACCAGATGCCGTTTTCAGTGATATTCCGTTTGCCACACGGGAATCTACTGCATGTGCATAGGGTAATACTAATAGTCTGTACCAGACTTTTTTCGAGGAGTAAAAAAATAGTACAAATTGCCGAAATAAAGAGAATATTTTGCCGCAGAGACAGTCAGGTATGGTGTGAGTTAAGCTTTGTCTATTGCACACATTTAGTGCTCTTCTCATTCTCATTTAAATTGTAGTTTGTCCAAGGACCTTATATGAAGTCCTAGGTTTAGCAAAAAATTGAAGCAGTCTTGAGGGCAGAACTGTTGATAACTGTTGATATATATATATATATATTTATCTATTTATTTATTTATTGCGACATAAGGAAGATGGTCTTGGGGTTTAGAAAAGTTAGATCGTCCATGTCATATTACTCACAATATACAATCTAAAAGGAAACCAATGTGACCTTTTATTGCTAACATTTAATGTTAAAAAGTAGACCTCGGCATGGCTGGGGAAGCGACCTTCCCTGTGCTATATAACGCTACCATCGCGTGCGAGCAGAGCAGGCACAATCCTTCGACCGGTCTCGAAATAGCCCTGATGAGTTGTTTGCGTGGGTCAGCACGTGGTTAGAACCCGAGCGTCGCTGCCATCGCTCCATTTGAAGCATTTCCTCCTGCCAAACAAGATAACTAGGCGTTTTTCTTGGTTGACAGAGTTAGCGGACGTCCTTGGCTAAGCTGGGAGGTATTTTCCGGCCGCACCGTCCTTGGCGCGATAATACATTATTAAATGTTACCTGTGTAATAATGCGATCAGCACTATAGAACATAACACGAATTTGGAGATCTCATGCCTCCAATTACATATATTTTATATTATTTGGCAAGAATCCATTTCAACATTTTATTACTAATCATGTATGCAAATGACCTCCGCATTGACATAATATTTACATAGTGATGTTTAACTAACTAACATGTCACAAGTATGAAATGCCCATCATCTAGTACCAACAATAAATCGTAGCATTTTCGCCAGATGAGGTCTCATTTGCATAATTCGTATTTGTTAATGTCCCACTTGCCATAGATTACACACGTTATATGTTTCAAACCCTATTATACTCACCATTGGAATTTTAGGATTCAGTCATTAATTATTCAAGTTTAGTCCTCATTTACATGATTTTCATCTGATTGTGTTCATCTCTGTCTAAGCTATCTGCCAAATTTCTTGATTTATTCGGATTCGAAAGACTTCGCCGGAAATTCCGCTATAGTTCCTGTACAATCTGCTAAGGGGACCAAACCCACACCACTTAACACGAAAAGCTATCAGCATGGAATATCAGCCACCAAAAAATGAAGACCATAGCATATCCAGGGCTGAAAAGATACGAAGTTCTCCTGCGGTACCAATGTCAGCCGTTTAACCTTGACCTTCATCCTCACAGGACTAACCCCGACATACCAAATTTCAATCCATTCAGGCCTTCTTATGTTATGCTGATCACAACTTTGCGGAAACACATACAGACACACAAACAGACCAGAAACAATACCTCAAGGCAAAGGAGGGTACTAGGAAATGACATAGTGGACACCGAAAAACGACTAGTACTTCCTTGCGTTAGGTACATGTATCATATTGCCCCGTAGAGTCATGATCATCATTAGCCACTTGGCACATCTAGAAGCGGCACTCTGGTAATGTAATATTGGCTCTCATCCAAGGAAAAACTCCCTTCTACCAGACGATACCATCCTACATCTCTCAACAGCCCACACGCGTCCGTGCACACAGTCATGACTGACATCTACTCTGTGAACACTCAAACTCAAGAGTTGACTGATAATAACTACAGTGGCTTAACTTTATCAGAGGCAGATGCCGTTCGGTAGATCAGCGACCCCTGAAATACAGCACTGTACATGGCCGAATTACGGGGAAGAATTAGGTGATTTACTGAGATATGTGCGAAAGAGAGAGGAAAAGGAAATATAAGAAAAAAGAAAAGAATGATAGACAAAAATTAAAAAAAATCTTTTGGAAACAAGAGTTCCGCGATCTCATACCTTTGACTGACAAATTACATGTATAAATGTTTCCCATGGATTATATCAGTTGAACATATTTTCCACCCAATGTTTCACTCAATATCTGTCAATGTTCATTATTTCCCACCTATGTCGCAATTTTGAATACTTCTATCTTGGAAGAATTATGCTGCACACAAATGGACACACACGCAGCCCCGAGAGCATAACCTTCTCGGCGAAGAATCCATCCAACTTTTCACAAGCATGTCCACTCACGTAAA